GCGGGCTGGATACTGGGACGGAGACTTACAGCCGTAGGCTGGATACTGGGACAGAGACTTAAAGCCGCAGCCTGGATACTGGGACGGAGACTTACAGCCGCAGGCTGGATACTGGGACAGAGACTTAAAGCCGCAGCCTGGATACTGGGACGGAGACTTACAGCTGCAGCCGCGGGCTGGATACTGGGACGGAGACTTACAGCTGCAGCCGCGAGCTGGATACTGGGAGGGCAACATGGGGAAAATGCCGCACCCGGGGGCCCGAACTGGATGCCGGGGAGAATGGCAGCACTTTCCAGGCTGCGGGTTGGCGGAACGTGTATGACAAGGGGGGGGTCGTGAACCACACTTGTCGTGACAGGTTCACATGCCGGCGAAGGATGTGTGTCACAGCTCTCAGTTGTAATACCTGACGTCTTAGTCTTTGGTTTCCCAGAAGACTTATTTATTGGACGCCGTCCCCCTCTTCTCAGAGATTCTACTTTAGAACAGTGAACACAGTCACTCCCAAAAGTATGGGGATACCAAGAGATTCTTTTGGCCCTGGATAATTTGGGAGGGTTATACAACCGAGACCTGCACTTGCGACAGAAAAACTTAGGATGAAGGTAAGGCCTGTCTCGAGCAACTTCGATTCCCCAAATTTCTTTGATTTTTGGAGCGTACAGCTCACAGTTTAGGGCAGACAGCTTCTTGTCCTTCTCAGCCTTAGTCAAATTAAATTCCCCACAGAATCTACACAGTCTATTGATGTTCTCAATGTGTGAATCAATACCCCCCCCAGAAGACATGATCCCACATATCCCTGTACAACTTATTGATTGGAATTAATAGATGATCAATTTGTTACGATGAGGTAAGAGAAGTCCAAGAAGCGTTCTGATGACAGCAATAAATCAAGTACTAGCTAGAAAAAATGACGAATTGTGGGCCTAACAAATATCGTATGTCACAACAGTGACGTAATGGGACTCGAAGTACCGGTGTCGTAATTTGTGATAAAACAAAAGCTATACGGAGAATAAACTATTGAAAGGAAACAAGAAACTGATGTAGTTTTGAGATCAAAATAATAGTATGGCAGCAAAACTGGGGAAGTAAGTGCAAAATGCACTAAAATTTACCGAAAATCAGAGCGGAGAAGTAAAGCCGGCAGTATCCCCTGTCACGACGGGCCGATAATGTTTATGTAATTTGAGCGGGAAATTGCCGGCGGGAATTGTTTATTGCGGTGGGCGGGGCTAAAACAGACCACACAGCTTATTTGGGCATGATTGACATCTTTATTACCAATCAGAAAGCTGTAAGATGTTCCTAGATACGCTCGTAAATATTTACGTTGTCAGGCGGCGCCGCCATCTTGGATCTCATAGTCACTACTGCGCAGGCGCAAACCAAGAACCCGGAAGTGCCGTATTTGAAACTGCCGTGCCTAATATCAGGATCACATTATCTCTGTCATCTTTATAGGATTGCAATTTATACTTTACCTTGAATATTGTATTCTTGCAATATTGAGTTGTCATGATTCAGACAACAGAATGGCCATTTTTGAACCAAAGCATCAGTTAGTTAGTAGCACATTGTGCCAGTCATCTCTTGTACCATGTTGTGAGTGGTTGTTATGAGCTGTACTCTTGAAGGCACGTTCTGTGTCTCCTGTATGCCGTGACAGTATCTTTTCCTTCCGCAGGCATACACCATGCGGCCTTCTATCATCTTCTTTGACGAGATTGACGGGCTGGCACCTGTCCGATCCAGCAGACAGGACCAGATCCACTCCTCCATAGTGTCCACCCTGCTGGCCCTTATGGACGGACTGGACAGTCGCGGCGAGATTGTGGTCATCGGGGCGACTAATCGCATCGACTCCATCGACCCAGCCTTGCGAAGACCAGGCAGATTTGACAGGGAGTTCCTCTTTGGTCTGCCTGATCAAGAGGTAAGTCACTTACAGCCCAAAAAGGTCCTGTTCAATTCTGTGCAGAGCATAGGCAGTCTCCATATTTGTTGTGTAATCACAGGGGTCTAGCCCACTGGTAGTGTTGTGTGTTCGTCCTTCCCTCCCACACTCTTTCTAATGGATGCTGAGTGCTAAGCAGAGAAAGCAGTATGTACCATTTTTAAAGATTTTGGAACAGAGATAGATAGAAAAATTCTTGTGTATCCTTGGAATCCACTTGAAATATTCCAAGGGAGCTTTAGCAGTGAAAACAGCAGCATGTTTTTCCATAACCTTTAAAACACAGGTTTTGTTGGTTTCTTCATTCTCAGGCACGGCACAGCATTCTAAGAATCCACACCAAGGAGTGGACACCTCGACTTAGTGATGCCTTCCTGAGCGAAGCTGCAGAGAAGTGTGTGGGTAAGTTACCATGCTTTCAATTCCTCAATACACTGACATATACATGCTGTGATGTATGCTATGCTCTTAAATCAACTGTCAGCTTTTTAAACATTGCTTTAAGAATACCAGAATTGATAATTTTTCACATACAAACTTTGTAACTCTGAAACTTTCCAGGTTACTGCGGGGCGGACCTGAAGTCCCTCTGTACTGAGGCTGCCCTGTTCGCTCTGCGGAGGAGATACCCACAGATCTACTCCTCCAAGGAGAAGCTGCAGCTGGATGTCAGCTCCATCAATGTTAGTGCAAAGGACTTCCACCAGGCAATGCAGGTCGGTTATAAACTTCAGCTGTTGTTAGATATTCAATGGCTTTGAAAAGGTGTCTTCTGGCTTGGAAAGGGTGTCCTTATGTCCACCTATTTCACCATGCCTTCCACATACTTTTATCATTTTCAACGATCTACGATCCACAAATGTAGCAAAATATGTAATACATACATTATCAGCTGTAGTTAAATATGCCTGTTTCTGTTGCTTCTGTTATGATTGTAGAACATCACCCCAGCCTCCCAGCGCTCTGTAGTGTCCCCAGGACATGCCCTGGGTGGGACAATACAGATGCTCCTGCAGGGAATGCTTGACTCCATCCTGGGCCTGCTACAGAAGTCCTTCCCACCTGCCCTGGCACAAGCTGCAGCCAATCCTACAACAGGTAAGATAGTTATATGAGATAGTTATATGGACGACCGTTGAACCAGACAGACTTCAGTTCATTAAGAATAGATTCTTTTAGCATCTCTGCAGTCAAAAACAAAGATGATTCAGAAATGGTCAATAGAACTAAGCTACTCTCACTGAAAGATGCTCTTTTAATCACCTTGTACATGACTTGTATTATATTGTAAAAAAATAGCTTATTCTCTTCATTGCAGTCATGTTTTGGTCTATTTTGTTCCAAGGTCAACCTGCTGTAAAGTGATTGTACTTACCCATACACTGTTGTATGTATCAGGTGGCACTGATGGTGATCCAGTAGCAGAAATCCTGGAAAACGACTCGTATTCGGACGACGAGGGGCCGTGTATCTTTGACACCCCCCAGAACAGACGGCGTCGGAAGCAGGACGACTCAGGGCGCTTCCTCAACTTTGCCTTGTATGTCAGCAAAAACATTCAACATTTGTAACTCCAGGTCATGCAATGAGATGAATGATGTGTTTTAGAATTTATTTTCATCTCAATGCTTTATTGTAAGATTTTTTCTCTTTAGTAGACATTTTGTTTGACTTGTTGGCTAGACTAAACTTGACTTGAAATGGAAAAATCAGATTTGTACCGTCCCTTTTCATAAATTCACTGACTTTTGTTCAAGGTCTTTTGTTCAAGGACAATTCTTATCTCACTATAGTCAAAAGTTCTGCTCTTTTTTTTTAAATTGACTTGAATTATTAGATTAGCCTTTGTTGTTCACAGATTTATTATGCTTACCGAAGGAAAACATTTTTTTTTGCTCAGTTTCTTCCTCTTCTCCAAACAAATAAGGTCAATGACCTGAACCTGATGTATGTCACCATGGTAACTAGTGTTGGTTTACATCATGTTGCAATTTTATAGCAGGAGGGATTTAGACTCCTGTCTGACCATATATATGAATGTGCTTGAGTTAGAATTAACAGAGCAGACCATATGTGAAGGTTAATATATAATGCATTTGCTTTGCAAGTGTTACCTTTCTAGTCATAATTATTATTCACGTGTTTATAGATCTGCTTGCCAGCGTGCAGCCACCCACCGCCCGCGGCTGCTGATCACCGGCCAGCCTGACATGGGACAGACGGCCCACCTGGCCCCGGCCGTGGTGCATCACCTGGAGAGTCTGCCTGTCTACACCATGGACTTGCCTGCACTGTACGCTGTCAGTGTCAAGACTCCCGAGGAGTCCTGTGCTCAGGTTAGAGGCTTCAAAAACATTCACATATAATGTAAATTCATAGTTGTAGAGTTCAAACTTTGTTGAAACACAAAAAGTAAACTCAGCAGAAATTTGTTGGAACAAAATTTGAACTCTACAACTATGGATTCTACCAACATGAGCTTTCATTCATCTACTTATTCTACTTTATCTTTGTGGTAGTAGGGGATAGGACAAATTAAAATGTAGTCTATCTAACACTGACCAAATGGTAATATGCATGTATCAATATTTGGAGAGATGTGGAGAGATTTAGTACAGTGTCAGTTTTAAGGGAGGACATCGTTTATCATGTATCACTAACAATGATTTGCTTTCTTTTTCTAAATTAGATATTCCGTGAGGCCCGTCGCACAAGCCCTTCAGTCATCTACGCCCCGCACATTGACCAGTGGTGGGACATTGTCGGAGACACCCTCAGGGCAACCTTCCTCACGCTGCTAAGTGACCTACCTCCAACTGCCCCTGTGTTGCTGTTAGCCACCAGTGAAGTGCCTCACACGGGCCTACCAGAGCAGGTAAATATGTCTGCCTTTTTTTTCTGCCTCCTTTTGCCTTGAAACTGCCACTAGTGCACATTGAGTGTGGTAAGCGCAAGTTCTCGTATAGAGATATTAGAGGCCCTATCCTCTGGAACTGTCTGCCACACCCTATAAAGACCTGTACGTCCATGTCCACTCTTAAAATCAAATGCAAAACTTGGCCTAACCTCTGACCCCTCCATAACGACAAATTGTTTCTTTATGTAATACAGGGCCCTACTGAAAAGCAGTGTCATCACTGAGCATTCAACCCTGTATAAATATGACGGCAAATAAAAATGAATTAAAGTTTGCGATATCAGAAGCTAGTGTGAGGTACTGCCTTTTATGTCCTACCTGGGCCACAATTACGTTCGATACGGATGTTCCCGCCAGTGTGATAACTAGCGGTACGGCCCGGGGGTTCTTAACGCGTACGGCCCGGCCCTTCCAAATGTTCCATAGAACGATTCGAACATGTCCCAGCCCTCCCGCGGATCGGATCTCCCTTCGGCCGTCGGGCGATCCGACGCGCGGTCGGGCTGGTACCTCGGGCGATACGGAATACACCGTGTTGTATTCTATATGTATAATCGTTTCTGCCTGTGCAGGTACAGGACTTGTTCCAGACTGAGTCAGGTGAGCTGTACGTGGTGGAGCCTCCTGGTGAAGATGAGAGGAGAGCATACCTGCAGCAACTCCTGCTGGAACAGGCCACCACTCCTCCTCCCAAGAGGAAGCAAACAGGTGCAGCAAAAATACATTATATATCCTGTCGCTTCCAGTAAATTTGTACAGTAGGAAAGGTCCTATGAGCTTAGTTGACTCAGTGTTGTTTAGAACTACAACAGGCGACCACTCCTTCCAAGAGGAAGCAAACAGCAAACTACATCTACATATCCTGTCAGTTACAGTACTTTTTGTACAGTTCAAAAGGTCCTATGAGCTGAGGTGACCTGGGATCAATGTGAATTTCTTCATTTTTTAATAAAGAATGATGTTACTATGTTGTTTCCCCAGTGTCCCGCATGCTGGAGCCCTTGCCAGTCGCTCCCCCGCCCGAGCCCCGCCAGCTCTCGCAGAAGGAGCTGCAGGCCATCCACCAGTTTGAGGAGAGCATCTTCCGGGAGCTGAGGCTGTTCCTGCGCGACGTGCTGACCAGACTGGCTCAGGACAAGCGCTTCAAGATCTTCTGCAATCCGGTCAACATAGAGGAGGTAATGTTGGGTGTGATTTGAAACTGAAATATTGATTAAACTTATTAAGGGTAGTTTTTGTGTATTTAAAGTCAGCAAAGTTCCAGACATCAACATGGGTAGATGAAAAACCTGCCACAGCAGTTAGATGTACCTGCATGAATATTATCTTGTCCAAGTACTTGCCAACCGCTTCTCAACAGCTTTTTTCTTTTGTTGAAAAACTCAACACTCAGTTGAGGTATGTGATTCTATGACTCAAGCATGAAATAAGGCCACACCAATTTAATTTCTTGGTTAACGGATTTTTCTAGAAAAATAATGGAGCGGGCGGGCGAAAAAAAATTAAAAATAAAAACAGGCCTAGGCATCCTATTATGGCCCAAAATGGTACGATATTAGCCATGACGTCAACACACCAGGCTGGTTAAAAATTTAAACAATGAATTTTGAACTTTTAATGATACCACTGCATTGGAAGATGGAATGACTGTAACAAGTAGTAAGAAAAGGACTGTTTTCAACTGTTAAGGGCAAAATATGAGCATTTTGCACTTGATTCTGAATTTTTATTTTTATTTGCAAATCAGAAAAAAATGAAGTGGCGAATCCGTTAACCAAGAAATTAAATTGCTGTGGCCTAAGTAGCCAGAACTAAGCCAGAAACTGAGAAAGGTGGCACTTCTCTGCATTCGGACCTAGTAACAGACACTACACCACTTCCAAGTATGTGGGATGTGGTTATGTTCTGTGACCTATAGTTGGTATGCAATGCTTTCCTAATGTATTAAACGTGCACTGATCATATGTCCACAGGTTCCTGACTACTTGGAAGTCATCAAGACCCCCATGGACCTCTCCACCATGATGACCAAGATTGACAAGCATTGCTACGAGAACACCAGCGAGTTCATGACTGATCTCAACCTGGTCTGCAGCAATGCCCTGGAGTACAACCCTGACACAAATCCAGAAGGTAGCTTATATTATCATTGGTTTATTCGAACACAATACTGCACAATAATACAGTACACAGCGCCATCACCTTGCAGCGTTGCCTTGCCTTAAGCCTGAATTGTGTGATTTAAAGCGTTTAACAATTATTATGTAGCTAATATCCTGACCGTAACTCTGTGTTATAAAACAGTACATTACATATAACATTGAAATCATTAAGATTAAGGACTGACAGACTATACATGATTGTTTAAAATATGAATAGGGTATGGTGCTTCTGTTGTATCGTTTGGTTCACACTGGCAATTGGTCAAGTAGCTTTCACATTGCATGATAGTTTCTTAGCTTTCATGGTAAAATGAATGATGTCTTTAGAGAAATCATTGTGTCAAAAGTGTTGCCTTGAACAGGAGTTATGGTGGTCATGTACCAGCATACTTGAGTACATCATGTAGTGCCCTTTTCCCACTGAGGATGTTCCTAGGATGTTTAACTTTCATTTAACAGCAGCGTTAACATCATAAGAATTTATAGCTGTTAATAATTCTGAGATATCTTTCTGCATCACAGACAAGGCAATTCGCCACCGTGCCTGCACACTTCGGGACATGGCCCATGTCATCATCACTTCTGAGCTGGACCCAGAATTTGAGAAAACCTGTGAAGAAATCAAGGAATCCAGAGCAAGGCGAGGTGAGATGAGACAAGATGAACTTGTGACCCTGACCCTGACCAGGGAATTGCTAATTACTTGCTTCCTAATTTTCAACAGTCAACAATCATAGAGACAAAGTACAAGTCACTTAGTTTATAATTAGTCATCCTTAGTTCTGATGTACTACCTGTGGCTACTTTTTGGATGTTTCTATACAGGGATGAACAGTGTCAATCTTATGAGAAAAGTTGTGATATTGGAGCTTATGTATATTTATTATATTTCTTCTCCAAGGCAACAACCCCCTGACCACTGCCCCAGCCTATGTCCACACTCTGCCCAAAGCTGTGTCCTTGGCAACGCCCAACGTGAGCCAGAGTACCTCAGGAACCACCAACTATGCTGCCAGACGCACCCTCGGCTTGGAGACACCTGGCACCGGCTCAGCCTCTCGAGGAAAGAAGAGGAAACGCAGGATGAAGTCGGCATGGGCGCGGGGCAGCATCCCATCCTGGAAGAAGAAGCGTAAGCTCAACAATGACGAGGATAAAGAGGCAGAAGATGCTGGGAATGAAGATTCTAACGACACTGTCATCACGCCGACACCAAACGGAGATGTTCAGTCACAGGATGACCAGACAGAAGAAGATGGAGACAGCGACAAGGAGAGCATGAGAAGTGGTCCTGTTAACGTTCCTGCCTCCCCTCGTGATGATCACGAAGACTCCCAGAATTCCTCCATGCTCAGTCTGGAGTCAACAACAGAAGTAGAAATGGACCAATCACAGCCTTCTGATGCAGTCGACCAATCACAGCCTTCAGAGGAATCTGACCAACCACCAGCCCTCTTGGGAGAAGCTGACCAATCAGAACCACTCACAGTGGACCAATCAAATACTTCAGCAATAGAAGCCAACCAATCCAATCCTACCTCAGATGAACCACCAACGTTGGAACCCGAAGGTTCTGTTTCCCCCCAAGATGGTGAAGAAGAAACTGATGATAAGGACGAAGATGAGAAAGGTCAGCTTTACCGCTTATCTGTACTTCATAAAGAAAAACAATTTCAAGTTCCACTTTCTGTCATAGCCTACTATTCTGAGCATGTCATCAGAATATACTGTGCCTGCGCAAAACCCCCATTTTTCACAGTTTTTTTGGTCAATGTTGCATCAGAATTTTGTCTGTTGCAGCCGATATTTTTTCCGACATAAGATTTGGAAACTACTGACGGAATGTTAACCTTATATGGGCAAATACAACCTTATATGAGACATTGTGCCAAAGTGCTATGGACAATACATTAGTGGTTTCTAACATTGCATAATTTGCCATTGATGTTTGTGGTGCAGATTTTGTAGTGACACCCCGGGTGACCAGGTCCCAGACCTCCAGCCTGCCCGTACAGAAGGTGGAGAAAGTGTTACAGGTTCTTGAGGAGCCAACACCAGACTTTGTGGTGGATAAGGAGGGACTAGAGGCACTGTTGGAGGAAACAGTGAGTCGTCATACATTTACATTAGGCATTGACATCTGTAAATGACATGTTAGATAAATTTGAGCTCATACACATTATAATCCATGATTTTTGTGCCAAGCAAATGTTGCCATGTATTGCACACGTTTAAGTTCAGTGAATATTTTATGTGTTCTTGCCATTGATTCCACACATGCACCTATGAAAAGTGTGAAAGGATCTGTGAGGGTTTGAAGTTTTGTTTACACGTACATGTGCTGGTTGTTAGGTGCAGCTGACAGGTGGATACAGTGTGGAGAGACTAGAGAGGCTGCACAGTGTGATGGCCAGGTGTATATACCAGTACAGGAAAGTGTACGACAGGACACAGCTACTTCAGGTGGGCTCATGTTGTTAATATAAGTTGATCATAGCAGTCTTAAGACACTGTCTTCCACCAAACACCAGACTTTTTAAAGGAAGTTGGTCTTCAGCTGTTTTCTTGCCAAACTACATATCCGGGCTTTGATTATTCTGCTGCCAGCCTCCCTATCACAGTGGTGGGCAGCAGTTGGCTAGCCTGAATACCACATCTCCATGCGACACTGTCCAGAGGGTCAGTGTTGGTCACCCTGTCAAACTGTTAGACATAAAGCTTTTCCTCTTCAGGGCTCAAAATATTGGGTGCATGTGCACCTTAGTGCACGCAAAATTGGAGCTGTGCACCCAATTTTTTTCTGTGGGTGCACCCAAATATTTTTGTAGGTACCTGTTCCCAAAAATGAATTTTGACCCCTGCTCTTAAAGATTGATTGGTTGTCTTTGCACACATTTTTTCTAAAACCCTTTATATGTTTCACTGACTTATTGCTACATGTGTTCCCTTTGCAGGATCTAAACGGGGAGGTCCACAGATTCTGTGGTGTGCCGGTCAGGAAGTGTACATAGCAAAAGAGTGTTGTCATATGACAGGTATATAGAAAAGGCCTTTTCTGCAGCCAATACCGTTTGGATGAATGAATAGTCCTACAGTAGGAGTGATGTTGAAGCATTGGAGGGAAACAGATGTATCAGGAACATTCGAATTCTGAGCAACACATGAAGTGTTGGGGGAAAATGCTCTGATAAAATGGAAGAATGGAGAACTGCAATTGTAAACCTAAGTTAAAGACTGTTATGTCAAATTTTGAAAAAGGCATCTTGCCTGAGACCTTTGTTCAGAAAAGCCTAAAATGCCCCCACACAAGTCCAAATATTCTTCATCTTTTTTTTTTTGCCTATATTGACATTTTGGCTGGAGGAAAGCAAATAAAGGAAGAGAATACTTCAGCATTTATGGTCAGCTTGGTCCAGATCATACTGTATCTAACTATGTGTTCAAAATGTAAAAAAAATAAGATATCTTATGGTGCAAACTTGGCACATTCCTGTAGGTAAAAATGAACTATAGATATGGATTTATAGTCTGCAGTAACTATTGTATGAAGGTGATTTGCATGTCTGTACAGTGTTAATGTGACTTGTTAGCTTTGGTATGTCCACAGTGATACCTCAATTCTTTTGCTATTAGTTAAGGCAGCAATTGGGTGGGAAAGGATCCCTATATCCACTGGTTTTAACCAGAAAAATATGCTACATTTGGTACTTATTTTTCACGTGTTGTATTTCAATGACATTTATACCCATTAACATTGAACCTTTGTTATATGAACCATTTTCATGATACAAAATTACTCTTCAGTCCGCGTTGTCCTGACAGTGTACATAATTAGCATATCACCTCTTGGCCAAGATTGCAGAGCTGGTGCTCTTAAAAATGTTTATTTTTCATAAGATGTGGGAATAACAGCACACAGAAACCAGCTCACAGCACAGAAGGGACATCTGCACAGAATGACATACTTTTTCTTATCTTGGTAACACACAGTTTTGCATACAATGTCAAGAGATCTTGCTAACAATACATGAACATGTACATTTTGTACCTCAGTAGGCTGCCTTTCCACAAGTTGGCAATGACTGAGCAACCGAAATTGAATTTGTGCCACCCATTTCATAATTGGAATATCATGCAAAAGTTAAAAATATGATTTAAGATACAACAAAAATCTTTTTTTTTTTCTTATGAAATTCATGGGGCAATCTGTCAAATCTTCGGTTGCTCAGTGGCCACAGCCAGTAGAAAGGAGTGTGACAGGTCTACAGGTAAACTTCATCCAGTATGACATATTTTATTATGACAAGGATGGTAAATTATATATATATTATGCTGGACACTATAAAAAAGATCATTAATAAGGCCCAAGAGGACCAGAAGTATTATATAAATGATTCAACAGCAAATATATCAGAATATTTGGATCTAAGGAATTTTGTCAACTGCCTAACAACATCTTTTTTATGGATATGGTTGAAAATAGCAGCCAGAAGTTCAAATCCTTGCATGTCATGCTGTTATGTCCTTTTTTCTTATTATGACCAATAATAGACTTTCAGAAATGTGCATCCTGTCAATAACATCTGAAGTGTCAAATCAACTTGGGCTTGGAACTTTGGGAGGGTTTTATACATTTTTACCCAATACTGGTGCTGTCCATGAAGTTTCACATAAATTCTGTTGGCCAACATACAGACTGGATGCCTGCAGAATCTTGTATCTTTGATTAGTTTGAATGCTTTTGCACAATGTTTTTTTTTTTTACACAGTCAACAATACATGTGTGAGTGATTTTGCACAATGACAGGCACAATGTTTTGTGAGTGAAATGACTGAATGTGTTTAGAACTGCTTTACTACAGAAGCCTTTGGATGGATGAAATGAAGTGCATGTACAGAGCTTGTAAATTTGCTGTGCCCGATTTCAAACCAGGTAGAAGTAAAGCTAGTACCAATTACCTCTGAAATACAAGTTGCTGGTATTGGGAATTTCAGATAATCTGGACAATAATTATTTTCTTTGTAATTGATTTTGTTTTGTTTGATTTCCGTTTCTTATATTTTGTGTTCATGTTGAAAACCTGAAGTGTCATGAGTGTAATATTTGGGTTTACTTTCACAGTTTAATCTGATGTATGGAACTTAATTTCCTTGGTACAGCTACCTCAGGCTTCTTGTCTTGGTGATTCCTACCTACGCAATGGTGCTGTTTTCAATGCAAATAAACCATTTTTACTTCTGAAGTAGTGGGTGTCAAGAGTTGTTTCATTTTACCTTTCCACCTAGGACCAAACTATTGTGTGGTTACAAAGATTATATGTCACAGGGGAGATTGGAACCTGTGGGGATCCGGAATCCTCCTAGGGGAGATTGGAATCCCTATCTCCCCTAGGGGAGATTGGAATCCCAATCTCTCCTAGGAGAATCTGGAATCCTCCTAGGGGAGATAGGGATTCCAATCTCCCCTAGGGGAGACTGGAATTCAAGTTTTTATAAGAGTTTTAGTATCCTAGGATCACAAAGAAGGGTTATTTTCCCCAGACAGCTGTATCCATTATCAGCTTGAAGTACATGAAAGTCCACTATTTTGATGGCTCCTGCCAAGATGTAATTAGCTACAATAAGGACAAAGTGACACAAAATAGCAAAGCACCATTTCATTTATTTTACAGAGTGTTTATCTGTAATAGAATTATATACAAGGAGCTTGTGGCTAAAGAATTCCATATGTAAGAATTTCAAGGTAGCCCTCATGCATATGTAGGTACAAAAATGTATTTTACATACATAGACAACTAACTACATGTACCTGAACAAGTGCATAGTAAAAAAATTATAATCTGGATTGCAGTCTTCAGGTCATATATTGCTCAGCTCAAATATTGGCCAGTCACAAAGTGCATAGTTTTATCCTGGTTAGACTCCTTTTCCAAGCTCAAATATATGTACAGTGGATACTGCTGAAAAACACCAGACGAATTTCTCACTGCTCAAAAAAATTACATTACCCTGATCAATATCATAAGAGATTATGAGAAATGTAAAACAACACAACATTGTTAGATTTAGGAAGTATAAAATCTACACTACCAACTGTTAACAAAGTTTGAAAGTGTCCACGAAACTTATAAAACAGCAGCATTTGATTTCATTGGGAAGAAAATTGGAACAATACTGTCACTCATACTAATAATAATGGAAATATCTTGATATACAAAATAGCATAATACACAAAAAAATTAGCAGCTCTGCAACGTACTGCAAAATCTAGTGCCAAATGTGGCTTTTTGTAGGTTGCAGCCCATACAGTTCTTTAATACTGAGAAATTAATATTTCCAGTTTCTGATTCATTTCCATATGTACAGTTCGGGGATAGATTTTACACCTGACCCCATTTCTATCGGTTGGACAAGCCATGCATTTTGCAAACATTAATTCTATACTAGCTAATAACACAGATGCGGTCAGGTACAGCCACTAGGATTTGCTGCCTGTCTAGTGGACATTTCCCCCCATCCTCTCCAACCCTGGGGTTGAGGATCCTCCACGCACACCTCCTACACACACACCTGTGGCCACAGGGCCGTAACGTCATGTTTGCTGGACGATCCAGGCAGACCACACAGGAGTTGTCATTCTCTGTGTCCTCGATGAAGAAGTGTCTCCGCAGGCTGCTGAGCCTGCCACTCCTGCGGGGCTGTAACAAGTGCTCATGAAGCTCCCATCCCTCTGCGTCTGTCCTTGGTGCTGAACTCACAGCCGGGTATGTGGTGAACCCAAGGGGGGAGGCTTGTACTGTAGGGTTTGGTAAGGGCTGCTGTCGGGAATGGTATTCTACAAACATGTCTCTGATAACTGTTTGTATGCTGCGTGCTGTTTCCTGAAGCCAGTGCACAATGTGGGTGGCATCTGGTTGGTTGATAAGATACAAGAACACCACGGGAGAGGAGAGGATAAGGATATGGACAGGTATCATCACTATGGAACATACACCATAGAGTAACATCCACAGTGTGCTGAGCAAAAATACAACTGCTGAGTAAACTGTATACAAAACGAAGGCAATGAGGACATATATCAGTGATACCAAAAGTGCCACACTTTTGACTAGCGCGGAAACAATGGTTGCTCCAAACCACTTTATCCACTGCAGAGTCTTGTACACAAAGGTAGGAGAAGCCATCACATTTTCCAGGCACCAGCACAAAAACTGCCCTACCCTCCAAATAAGAAATGCCACCATGTGGAATGGAATGAAGAGGACAGTTTTTACAAGATCCAAAACTGTCATTAAGATTCCGGGCGGTGTTTTGTTGTCCTGAGAGTTGTAGTCTTCGGAATGTTCTGGTACCAGTTTTAGAAGCTGTTCAACAAGCATGCTGTCTGTCTTCTTTGGGGACCCTCCTGTTCCCAATTCTTGAGAAACTTTTTCTCTGAGAACCAATTTGAATGCTTCCAATACTTCCTCAGGTAGACCTGACTTTTCTATTACTCTTTCTGCCTCTTGGATGTCTGATCGAGCCTTTCCAACAGCTTCTGCCGCTTTTCGTATTGCTTTTCCCACATTGTGTATGTCTTTGCTGTCCACTTCTGGGTCTTGCATAGATGCCACCATCCTGAAGAAGACTGCAGATATAGTCAGGACCAGAAGGGGGCACTGCAAATTTAAAAAAAGAGGAGTTATGAAATCATGTTGGATGATTGATATACTAGTATCCATTTTATAGGGTAAACATTAATCAACTAGAATATTCTTCTTGTTTTAAACATTAAAAAAACCATTTAGGTGCTTTGTATAGCCAGTTGTTGACAGTAAGGGAAAGCCACATTGAATTATCTTTGACATCATTCAAACAACATTTGTGACCTTTGTTGGTCCAAGAGTATTTGTATGATACTGGTAACATTAGCTGCCTTGAAACAATTATCAAAAGTGCATCATTTTATCTCCATCTTGTACAATGATAAAAAATATATCTTCCCAAATTTAATGAAGGCTATATTTGCAAAGAAAATTAATTACAATGTGCCAGTTTCAGTGCTACATTAATTAAATGAGACTAAGCATGAAAGGCAATACATCATACATTTTGTACATGTATGACTGCTAGTGTGACTTGTATTTTCATTCCCACGTAATTGTTCTCTCAAGACTTAGTCGGTTTGAGAAGATTAACGTTGCCATTTTATTTCACTTTTTTTTCTATTTTTTAATCTGTACTAGCAGGTGGTGCAGAGCTGGACATGGCTTAAGGGGGGGGGGTCGTAATGTTTAGGGTTTAACATGTTTAGTGTCTAAAATTCGATAGTCATTCAACGACTTCGATACACAAAGAGGGCTTGGACTGAGCACGTTACTTCTATATACTAGGCAGCATATACTAGTACGTTACAATCAATTTCATGTCAACTGTAACCTGTTTTAAATATATGACCTTATTTTGAAAATGAAAGCAACTTTGTTTTTGTTGCGTAACGTTATGATTGAACATACAACTTCATAATAAAATCGACAACTTACCAATCGCTGGTAGCTTACTTGCGCCATTTCTACAATCTACGGAATGTGTGCTTTCACAGTGCCAACAGTGATGTGCCCTTGTTGTTCCTAGACATCAGCGTAACGCCAAACATGTAAAGAGGAATCTCCGCCTGACAGGCGGGTAACAAAAACCCAACAGCCGTTCGACAACCGTAACCTTTGACCGGTCGGTAAGCTATCGATATCGGGGTCATCTCTATGGTTACAGCCACGCCTTCCTAGTGCATGCGGCGGCTTTGATCTCGCACTTGTAATGATTGAAAATTGATCCTATTCAGAAAAGCAAAGCATTCACTAGAAAATTTGGTCTTCATGTGTGAATCATATTTTTATTCATTGTCTATTCTTTGTTGTCTTTTTTTCGATATCTCTCTTTTTGTTCCAAATATCATTGAAATAAGTGCCACTTGCCTCCTTTAAACTTTGAATTTGCAGGTATTTCAACGTTAGATTTTTCCATCCCCGAATACGTTTTTTATGCCTACTGAAAGATTTTCCTGGACTTTTGGTATTATGTCCTCTATAAAAATAAATTGTGATTCTACGCTTCAAATTAATTTCTTTACATTTTCGTCTTTTTCGTTTGATTTTGGCATTCTACGACATTGGTATCGTTTTCCAATGTTTTTTTCAACTTATGGTATATATTTGCTCATTTTGCAACTGTTTTGTACGATTTATAGTATTTTTTTTTTTGAAAATGACAGAAAATTCATGCGCGTGCAGACGTCATCCATAATTCATAATCAAATCAACATGGCCCTAGCTAATTAGAAAGAACAGATCTTCTAACAAGTTTGCCAGACTCCTAAATTAATTGAATACTACCTGATGTGCAGAATGGAAAACTGTTAAAAATTAAATTGTTGTTAAACTTTGTTTGTTATTCAGAGTAATTTTAGTGTAATTATAAGAATTTTGAGTGTGTAATTTAAGTCAGGGGGCTGTGAAATGCTTCTTGTTGTTTTTACATACAATGAACCATTCATTCATATACAACTGCAGCAAAATTTCCATTAGGAAATATAATTAGATGAAAGTTTAGAAGTTTTTAAAAAAATAATGAAAAAAACTAAGAATAAGTATAGGGTGTAGAATGAAGTCCTTCATGGTCTTTTAAGACCGAAGAATGCCTACTACTACTACTACTACTACTACATATCTATCAGCAATATACAATTATTTCTATACAACATATATAAGGCACAGCTTATTTGCATTCTCATATAGACATTGCTGATATTAATTACACTCAAGCAAAACTAATGTTGTTACCACAGGCACTGTCTTTTTCCTTACATGATTGTGCTTCCCTTGTAACACTTTACACACTGAAGCATGATTGTCAGATGCAGGCATACATGTACAGTTGTAATCTTCACAAGGCTAATGTAAGTTCTAAGTGCTATCTGTGGCAGCATTTGAATGCCGTGAACTTCAGCTCTCACACTTTGTACTTCGTGTTTGACGTTCTTCCATTGACACTGCATACATACATACATGTAGTTAGACAGCCACTACAGATGCAGTATTAACACAGCCCTGCCTCTTGTTATTGGGTGTACAACAGGTGTGTTACCTTTGCATTAAACAATTTGGTCCCCATATCTAACATATGAACATTCACCAATTTGTCAATTATTCTATAATATATACATGTAATGTTTATATATATATATATATAAGCAGCAAAATTGAAGTACAAGAATGCATGCTTCCATACAAAATTTGCATGCCGACTCTAGTTTATGTCCTTATTTGTTACAACCCCTGATAAACACTGCACACAATGTATACAAAATCTTGCAGACAGTTCATATTTTCACAACTGCAACTTCCCTGTCGTACCACCAGTCACAAGCGAACATTAAATGGTTGCCTCTTCTGCAGTTCCTATTTACTTGTTACAATATTGATGTACAAATAAAGTTCTGTGCAGTCTGATCACAAGTTCATTCATCTCTTGCACCTCCAATGAAATAAACATCTCTGGTTTGTAAGATCACCACAAGATGTCCTACTATCCATATGTACTGGTAAAGGATGAGTAAACATGTGTCATTGTCCACGGGTACTGCCTGGATAGAGAACATCCTGGACCCCATTGTAAACTCTCACCAGGAAGTCCAACTTTGGGTAGGAATGCTGAGGGAAAAATGGGACATAAAAGTAGATAAACATTATAATATTGATCCCTGATTCAAAACATCACCAGTTGTAGGCAACATTTCAACATTTTGTACTGTTACAGAAGCTTATGAAAAAGGTCAAGAGAACTTCTTGTAAGGAATGTGTGTGTGTGTGTGTGTGTGTGTGTGTGTGTGTGTGTGTGTGTGTGTGTGTGTGTGTGTGTGTGTGTGTGTGTGTGTGTGTGTGCATGTGTTTGCATTCATGTGTCGAGTGTGTGTGTGCGTATTGGGGTGAATGTGTGAGAGACTGAATGCATGTTAGATATTTACTGGGCATGAGTGCATACTCTCTTTCCCATTTTGTTCTTTATTAAAAATCAGTAGTGGCATTTCTGAGATCCAAATTGGAACAGACATCACTACAGTCTATAGAAAAGCAGGGTTACATCCCATCCACAGGACTCTCACCTGAAACACGGGCACGACCCTCCTCAGACTGCTACTGTGAGGGTCTTTGATGAGCAGCACCAGGTAAAACACTACAGAATGCTGCAAAGGAGACACATGTGTGTCACTCACAGTTACCAGTTACACAAACCTATAGAAACGTCCAAAACACTAGCTGTCTGCTAGGCACTCACTGATGAGGAAAGGAATACTGCCAATGTGAAGGAGATGGTTGACACTGCATCTAACTTAGCCTTTATATTAACAAACAAACAAACAAACAATCATAGACGTACATTGTACATTGTATGACTAGTAAGCAACTAATACTCAGAAGAATGACAAGTCACTCTTCTTCATACCCTTGGGAGGCGTATGGAGTCTATGGACCCTGTCTGGTGAAAGGAATACTTCCTGGCCAATTTGATACTGTCTTTTGCCACCCTAAGACCTGCTTGGAGATTACCTTCTTATACATGTACATTTAAACTCACCATTGTCACCACTTCATTGATGATGACATCTTGAATCTCCGCCGTGTCGTAGTAGCGTGCGCGCCGCCTGCCCGTGATGTAGGTGGTGGTGAGCTGGACTCCCGTAGACGCCACCGCCTGGATGGACTCTGAACGGACCTGCACGCAGCTGAGGTAGTACAGAAGGAGGCAGGGCAGCAAGCCTCCCGACACGTACAGGACCCACTGGAACTGTTGGAACAAGAAATTCACAAGGACTGAGCAACTCTGTATCTGTATAGCCGGTATGACCACCCTTCTGCATGACACACCAGCTTCTGTATCTGTATAGCTAGTTATAACCACCCTTCAGAGTAACACACTAGCTTTGCAGGCATGCAGTGTATCATAGAATATCATACAGTAGAGTATCGTAGAGTATCATAGTGTATCATAGAGTATCATGGTAGTATCGTGGTCTCTAATTTTAGATTATGAGTCATAATTTCCCTCACCTTGGATTCTATACTGCTTGTTGTGTACCACAGTAGACATGCATCTACAAGTAACAATGTCAAGAAGGGAGTCCAAATCCTTCTTCTACTGTACTCAATGCTAAACTCTGCGTACAAGTCTTTTGGTTGCTGCACAGTTTTGGGGATAAATAAAGCACCATGATTCTCCTGACAGGAACAGGTCTTCTGTTGTCGATGATCTGTTTTGAATTCTTCCTGATGTCTCAGTCGCTTTGTCTGTGACCTGGTTCGTATTCCTCCGGTTACGTCGGATTTGTTTGCGGCGTTTGAGGCTGTAGTCTCAAAAATACACATGTTGGCGCAGTGTAGTCCCATAAAAACCTCCGTACGGTGCAATGCCATGAAGTATTTCGAAGAAAGTTTGGCATGACCGGTTCATCATGATCACAAGTCCGCCATGTTTGTCGCACAGGCACGCCCTATGGCAGTGCAACTGCGCCGCCTGGCAGATTGCGTATAAAGTGCAGGGGACAACTCAAAAACAGCGAATGAGTTTACACACGTTTAGACAAACATTGGGAGATTATGAAGTACAACACTTGAGTAAAGTTCGAGACCGGGATTACTACAGGCAGTGCCTCATCATCCCGAAGACGGTACTATCAAGGTATCAAGGACAAGTGGTGAAAGCAAAGGTCTTTGTCATTTCGCGCCAAGGGCGTAAAAGGTCATGGTTCACGTCAGCCTCGTTTTCATCCATTTCATGATGGTGGCAGGTCGTCGGAACTTCAGTGTTTTGGTTTTAGATGTGTAGAATTTCCCCCCTGTTCACGATATAGACGAGCCATTGCCAACATTTTGTTATCTCCATACAATAAATTCCATCATGAACGCTGATGTGGAATTCCATATACGCCATAACTACACCTGGGCCAAGTTACCGGCCAGTGTCAAACAGGTAAGAAATGGGGGAGGGGGGCGAGGAACTATATTTTATCATTATATCGCAATAGGATCGATATGATTTTGACTACGTTGTGTTTTGGTATTAGGAGGTGTCACGTCATAATTGCAGTTTTTCCCTGCTGTTTAACGTTAGACTTAAGTACGCCATGTTGTTTTGTTGGTGTTATGCGTGTGTATGATCACAAGTACACACCCAACAGAGAACTAGTAGTAACTTTACCTGTAGTACAGCTAGTCTCTTACGGTCATGATATTGTATTAAGGTAGATTTCATCCTCCTTTGTATTCTGGCATATTCCGGTAAAATAGGCTGACCCGCCTACAAAGCATTTTACTTGTTTGCTATCTCTACAGTACATTATGACTCTGACAATAGTAACCTTCATCAACTGCATATATGCTGTGATGCGTTGATGAAGGTTAGAGTTTGATTTTTCTTTGAATATGCTCATCTGATGGTTTGATGTTGCCGCCCAGGCCATGGGGAACTCCCAGAAGGAGTATGAGAAGGCTGTGGTGACCTTCAGCATCAGGAACCAGCTCAGATACAAGGGCAACCTGGGTGAGTCATTTCACCATTCATAGAGTATAATGTTACATGGAAATGTTATGAAATTATAACTCATATACTGGGTACATTTACCAGCATGCACTGATTCTAGACTTATTATTGTATTAATCTGTTGACGGATTATTGAAAGTAATTATAAATAAACAATGTTGCAGGTTAATGTTATGCAAACTACAAATTTACTTATGAAGAGAATCATGTAAATTGATCCAATCTGTTGATGACAATAGATGACACATGATGAACATTTTTATTAGTTTTTTTTATTATTTTGTGTGACATTCTAGTATGAAGAAAATCTGTAATTAACCACGATGTTGAAAGGGAACATTTCTCCCTGCTGTTTATTTTGTGACTAACATTTGCTGTGATCAAGTGTAGGATGCCAAAGGCCGTATCATATGAATCATGATGATGCTGCCACACCTCCTGCTGCTGATTAGTACATAATGCTGCAGTACCATAAGTAGATGCTAGGTTGTGCTGCTGCACTACTCAACAGTTGAGCTGCACAATGGTTTGGTACATGTAAAATGAGATTGTCATCACTAGTTCAACTACAAAAGTGTTACAACCACTGGAATAAAGTTATTTTCCTCTCATCTGCTGCAGTGTTTTTCATACTCTGAGTAGATTCATTGACATTTATGTATTTATAACTACTTTTTGTACATTCTATAACAGGTACAAGTATAGAATACTTGCTGTAATTTTAAATTCTTATAAAGAGTTATTATGTAGCATTGTATAGTCAATCCAGACCTGGACTGTTCTAATATTTGTCAAGACATACAATTTTTCTTTCTTTTGAAATTGCAGGAATGACATACATAAATACGCATATGAAATATACATAAACATGGAGTAAATATTGCTGTAGCTGGTTATCCATAAACACAATGTGACATAAGATAAGCATTCATGCCACAGGAAGGAAACATTACAATGGAAAGGGTAAGGGTCAAGTAAATATCCCGTTCAAAAAACAAAACACTGTCAAGTGGGGCAATTTTCCCGCCCAACCAGGTGTTAAACAGTGGACGCAGCCAGGCACAAGTAAAGTTAGATTTATACCCTTGGGGTTAATAGGTGTTTCACACCTGATTCATCACCTGTAGGAGTGCACAGGCTACGTGAAGGTCACAGGAGATGAGTTTTTCCTGTATATGGTGTTTGGTGCCAAATATGATAGTGGAAGAAAGGACACACTTAGAATGTATACGTATGTCACGGACCTGTTGGAGCTACAACTCACGAGTGTATACATTTGTACTTGTAATTGTTCGTTGTGGATTGACTTGTGATCAATATAAGACATGAAAACTGCAACAAGTTTTCCATGTTGTTCGAATTCCACGATTACTAGTATTTCTTGCAAACTATATGTAGTTCATTTACTTACACAACTATTGTAGATGTGTTAGATATCTACATGTATATCATAATAGCATGTAAATATTTGTCAAGTTGTTTTGCAGAACTTTTATGTCTCTCTGAGAAAATTGAAACAACAGTATTTGTGTGAACCTTTCATTTAATCATTTCATATAATATTCATGTTTAGAGTTCATAATTTCCATGGGGAACAATTTGGTATTCATCCCATGCAGGTGTGAAGTAGGTAGACAGGTAAGCTCTGAGCAAAACATGTTGGAAGTTGTAACCATTGTCTTTAATGGCTATCAGGAGATCTACTCAGAGATAGGCTAGATTTTAAATAATCAAACAGAGATACATAATAGACCCGGTAGTCTCTTAACGACACCTTCCAGTGTCTTCAAACAACCGCTCTTCCAAGGATTACTGTATTTTGTTTCCTTGATTGTACAGAAGTGTTGAAAATGCAGAGACAGGAAGTCTCCTTTTGACTCAATTTGAGACACAGTAAAGTTGAGTAAACGTAATGTATTTAGGCTTTATGATGCTTATCTTTATGTATATCCTGATATCATGGATCATATGGAAACAAAAATGTAAACTGACAAAAGCCCAGTAGCTTAGGCTGTGATGAAAGCAGGTCAAGTTTTCAGATTACACAGAAATCAAGATTGCTGCCAGAAATTACTGAATGTTGACACACAGAAAAGCACAACCAGAATGTATCACTGTTGTCTTATTAGCTGTTATCTCTGTGCCTCAAACATAAACTGCTTAACTGCTGTTTTATGGCAATGCCCAACCACCAGTAATGCTGTTATCACCATTCCCTGCTGGGTAATGGATCTAGGCTAATGGACAGTCTTAAATCAGACAGAATTACTGAAATTGTTGTGAAGTAAGACATTTTGGCGTGACTACCACGTGACTACTGTATTATAATACAACGTAAAGAAGACTCAAGATGAAGACATGTAAACAGTCAAGCTACACAACTTATTCATTTTTCCTTGCACAATTCACTGTTCTTTGGTATGAAGGACTCTGCTACACAAGCAATGAATGCTATATAATTATATCATGCTTTAAGTTGAAACTTTAGCATAGAGACTGAATTGTGAGACTCTTTGATACCTCAGGTGCTCTTAAATGTGTCAGAATACAGTAGACAAGATGTAAATTCTGCTGGGTACTTTACATTGGTACACATAGTAGGCCCTGTTTGTGTCTCCTGATTTAGCAATGCAGGCTGACAGAGAAATTGGCCACATCTTCCTGATGACTTAATTTGGTCGGTCCCCTGTAGGGATGTCTTTATTCTGCAGTGCCACAGGGATGTACAGGGGTAAAGATCAGCATCCCTGTGCCCTACCAGACATGTTGAGTCTTTGTTAGATAGAAGACATTGAAAGTGGCAGTCAAATCCTTCCCTTATTTTCTTTTCATTACTTTTTTATGTGCCACCTGGACTGAAAATCAAGCACTTGAATCCTGACCTTTTATTCCAGACTGGAAAGTGTGACAACAAATAGAGCATGTAGGCGGAATTACAGTGGGCCTGTCCGGTTTACTCTTATACTAAGTTTCATGGGGCTCAACTGAATTGATGTTGAGGCTGAAACCTAAATCCAGTCATTGGCATTGAATAACTGTTCCCTTGTACTGTAGGTACAATTCTTGATAGGTTTTATCTGCTCCAATAGTCGACATCACCATTTTTGTCAGGTTTATGTCTTCTCCTAGGGATGCTACGAATTGGACTTGAGATGGTCATCTCATTTTTGTACAGTGTGTGCTGCTCCAAGGTAGCTAGCTACACATTGAAACCAAAGTAATCTTGCTGTAATGGTTTGTCTTGGAGGGATATAAGAATACCTTGTCAAGAGAACTGCTTCCAACATTTTGTCAATAATTATGTAACAAACAGGTACACATCCTGCATGAAATGCAGAAGTCATAATTATCATCAGCCAGTCTCTAATTTTTCACCAGTCACACTACCAGACAGGGAGAAAGGTTGTCTCTCTTCCTGCTCCTTTCCCACACATCAGACCTTGGCGTAATGTAAGTTTGGAAATGCAGCGCACGACCACACGTACATGGGGGATGAAAAGGTCAAGGAACCGAGTCATGGTCTCCTGCTTGGTGCCCAAGTCTTTCACCCATGTCTCTCAGCCGCTTTGAACTTTTGCTGGGGGTGTGCCTGTGTGCATGCGTGTCTTAAACTAAAGAAGGGTGGGAGGAACAAGTCTTATGAAGTTGAGTCACTCTTACATACAAAAGATTAGTAACTAACTTTGAACTATGGATATTCATAATAATTGTTAAGTATTAGTCATGACGCCCATGCTTAAATCTGAAGGTTTCGTTATGAATCTTGTCCTTTTGGCTTCTCTCAAGTGCTTGCATGTGAATTAAAGTTCCAGACTAATGCTACCTGGTAGAAAAAGGAATTCCAGAGGGTTCTCGGTTAGTAGCGGAGGCATTTTCAGAGGAAGTGTTCAAGTCAGAGTAACCAACAAAGTGCCCTGTATTGTTGTTGTCACGTCGTCTTGCCCAAAGCAAGACTTTTGTCCTCCCGGTCCCCAGGCTACACACCACTTAGCTGACTCAGCCAACCTGAAACAGCCTGCCCCTGCAGGGCTTTAGTCACAGACTTTTCAACAGTTCTTCTACCAGCCCAGTATTCAAGACTTTAAGCTATACAGAATCTATCTAAGAAAATGTAGTACTACATCCTTATAGAAGAATTCACAGAAAGTTGCTAGCTATAGGTGACTTAGTTTGAAATTTGTAAGAGAAAAATGTGGAGTTTTACTCTATGCAGATTTTCTTCTTCCAAACATTGGACACAAAGTGGTACATGGTTGGGGGCCAGAATATAATGACATACCTTTGAGGAGAATTATCACCAAATTATGAGTCTAAAGAGGCACCTACAGATTTGGTTGCTTCTGTTGAAATAAGGAGCACAAAGCCGCTGGCTTTTGTAGTGTAAAACTGTTGATCCTCTGATCCAGAAAAATGTTTCTCTTTGCAAATCCTCTATAATTGATCCCCAAAGGAGTTTGTACCAGACAATTGAAAAGTTCATATTTAGGAATGTATTTTTAGCTTCTAAAGTCAGAGGCATTTTTCAGTGTTCCTTCCGGGAAATCTACAATGCCGTCGTTTGACGTCTTTCTCAGAGTGATTGTGTCTTACTAACCTTCCCCTCGGGCAAATGATTCAAATCAAAGGACTGCCTGTGCGAACATCTTAAGAGCTACACTAGCCATTTTGCCAGCCCTCATGCTGAGTACAACACATCCCCATGTCTAAGGCTTTCCCCTTGGCCCATGACACAGTACAGATGAAGCTCCTACGCTCAGGTACAAACTTCAGAAATTACGCACCTCCCTCCCTGCCCCGCCCCTCCATCATCATCCTGCCCAATTGGCCCCTGGCGTTGTCCATATAAGGGCGGGTTGTTGTTACACAGGTCGATGCTGATTGGTGGAAGGGTGACTGAGCATCATTATCTCTGTTAGTCACCCCAGGTTATATACCTTGTCACCCTGGCTGCACTTTAGTGGGTGTTACTAGTATCGCATGCTGGTGTTGATATCAATGTG